CTTCTGTATTGCATTTATATGCCATGAATCCCATCCTTCACTATATATTTGGAAATTTTGAAAAAGTATGCACTTTTTATTTCATGTTCTATCAAATTTCAACTATTACATGGTAATGAAAATTGTACTAATTAGACAGCATCCAATGGCGTCAGAACATGTTTAATTACCTTATGCCTGATTTCATGTCAAGTTACCATAACAGAATATCACAACTATTCATTTTTTGTCATTCTTTGAACATTCAAAAATCGAGGAATGATGGTTCATCTTAAGCTTAGTTGTGCCATTAGTTTGCGCTACACAATGTATTCCAAGACTGCTTATTTTACCAGATCTTACTAAGATATTTCGATCCGTCTAAGTATTTCCTGCACCCCTGGTCGAATTATCGTATTTTTCTATTGATTTTTTTCATTATATATGTTCCCCTTTATTGTTACTTATTTTTTTTAATGCTTGGCTTTATAACCTTTTTTTCCACATTGGTTCTCATTCGTTAATTTTTCTCTTATTTAAGCTCGACCAGTTTCTGCGACTAGTTTTCTTCCAGTATCTACCTCTCAGTTGTCTAGCCCTCCATCAGCCCAGGCAAATATAGTAACAGGAGTAGCAAATACTCAGAGCGTCACAAGCTGCGGAATAGGTACTCTTGCCCCGGTACTACCTGTCACTGGCTGTAAGTTAGCACCTCTTCGAGTACCTCTGCCGACGGGGATACTTCTTGCTGGACCTCTTTTAACTGGTGCTGGTTCCGTGACCTCCGTCAACGCCACCACTACCTCAGCTGCTACCACTGCAACGACGGTTGTGACTGTAGCCTCGGAATCTATTTCTAACTCTTCGTCCGTTACTTCGACGCAACAGGGTCAAATTCAAGCAGCTCCAATCGCTGTTACAACTAATCTGCCTCCCATATTGAGTTGTCCACAACTGCCTCATCATCAACATCACTCTTTACAGCATCCGCATACAGCGAATACGATTAATACTACTAGTGCAACTACCATTCCCTTATCCACGACACTACCAGCACCTCGTCCATTGACTTCGCAAACAGCAGGAATTCCCTCTTTTTTATCAACTGCTCCGTCATTGATATCAACTACAACAGTGTCTACGGTTGCTTTGACGTCAACTGCCACTACTATTGGGGCTGTTTCGGCACAACCAACACTTTTGCCGGTACTGCCCACCTCCGGCCTTCAGGTAATCATTTTATTACCCTTCACTTCCTACTCTGAAGATATTTTTTCTTAATTCCGCATACTATAATGTTGGTCACATTTAATTTTGTTTAAAGAGGTGAGTGGAAGGGATTCGTAAGTTGGTCTTACTTGAGGCTGTGGGGGTATCGCCTTGAAGTTGTGATTTTAGATTTATGCAAATCGGTCCTTGGCGCACCACCTTACGACCCCGATGAATCCTTGCTGAGTTTTTGTTCGTCTTAGGGCGGACATCGTCAGAGCAGGACACCGTACTTAACGTTAATTCACCAAAAAACGAAGACATGAAGGTGGCTGGCTTCAGACCTACATGACGGACAAAAGCTCAGCAAGGATTTAACGGACTCGCAGGGTGGTGCGCCAAGGACCTATTTACACAAATCCACAGTCACAGCTCCAAGGCAGTCCCCCTACAGCTTCCGGTGAGACCAACTTATGGAACCCTCCAACTCACCTCTTCAAACCAAATAAAAGGTACAACAAAATCAATCTAATAAGGGATTCTTCGTAACCCACTTTTTCTACATACCTCCTACTTTAGTTCTTAAATTTCAAACAAGCTTGTGGTGTCTCGTAAGCTTATACCATTCACCTTATTAACTTTATTGATAACATAGTGGCTATGCTTTAGCAACTTTACTACTAGATTCCACTCATTTTGTTAATAAAAGGCATTTTTTATATTTTACGATTTGATTGCTTTTCCTTACTTCTACTTTCCCCTTTTCATTCACCACTCCTTAAAGGCGTCTGGCACGATTCCTTGCAGTTTGACCTCCGCTGGACAAGTACATCAGGCCTCCCCTGCTGCTGTGTTCAGCCTGACTCCCGGCGGACTGAACCTAATCGGACAGTCAAGCCTAGTCGGGACTACTGGCTCAGGCGTCCCTGTCTTAGCACAAACACAGGCCTCTGGGCCCATTTTGATACGAGTACGAATTTTGGTTCACATTATACATTTTCTTTGTCAGAGTTGTATTTCCACACATTTTCAGGTGGTTAAAAATATTATTCAACATAAATAGGGAATCGAAGATATGAAGACCAAGATGGTGTGGCCTTTTGTGTGGTCGCAGTCTCCTTTCGTTGTATAGA